TATTTTTTTTTTGCTTAAGTGTGGTCCATAATTATTTCCCCTGTCCTTCTGGACTAGATGCCCTTAATAGAAAAGTGCTCTCCTGCCCCAGCCCTGCCCATGGCTCAGGATCTGAGCAAATGAAAACAGGATACTCAGCTTCTGTACACCACTTTAGCATTCAGTAAATCCATGTCTAACAATAAGGAAATGCTTGTATAAATACCTGTGAACCTAACAATCATAGGTGTGTTTAATTATTGATAATTGAAACTTAAATCACATAATTATGTCACTCCCTGGATTACTGCTGTGACTTCCTGCACAATGTCAACGAGTTTTCAAGCAACCGGAGCATTTGCAGACAGAACTGTCTTCTCTGGGCRTCCCTGGGCCACTCCTGCCTCCAGACCGATTCTAGAGAGGGACGCTGTGTCTCTTCAGGGGCCGTGTGACCGCTACGCAGAGGGCCAGCTGTCCGTGCTGCAGTCTGCGGTGCGGAAGACCACCCGCCTCATCCTCTCCCCAGCCGCTGCCTGTTAGGTACCCTTGGCCAGACAGCAACATCCAGGAAAATGTTCAGGCTGGGAAAACGTTATTCACCAGAGTTCCTCAAGAAGGGTGCTAAGACCTCTAGGGGAGGAGAAAGCCGCAGGGTTAGGGTGAGTCCACCAAGGGCCTCACTGGTTGCCAGAGCCGCCTGATGAACCAAGCCAACAGCTGGGGCTGGAGCTTGTGCTGAACTGTYAGAGCCCAGACAGTGGGTGAGTGTCAGCTCCATCCTGCAGCTCTCGACCCTCCCACTCCATCAACCAAGTGAGTCACCAAGGAAACAGCCTGACCAGCTGGGTCTTCCGGGGTGTCCTGAGTGGTATTCTCTCATAATGGATACTTCGGGGGTGTCTGCCCAGCCTATACCCCCTCTTCCTCTTGAAATGGTCATCCTCTTGTGCAGAGGGTGGACCCTAGGATGTCACATACTGTGTGACCCAGACCAGTGGGTAGGAAATGGAACCCAAGTCCTTCTACCAAGATTAAAAATCTGGGAGCAAAGARTCAAGCCCCTAGGACGGGGGTTACCAGGTGGCTACATTCATCCATGTTGCGGGCTGAAGAGGGGAGACTCAGCGCTGACTCGCTGGACAGAGAGAGAAACCAACGCAGAGGGGGCAGGAGTGAGAACAGAGCCAGAGGGAGACTCGGGTTCCAGTCTCCTGGGGGAGCAACCAGTCTTGCTTTTTTTTTTTTAAAAAAAAAAAAAACCCTTTGTTTATTTTCGTGTGGTGATGAGGACAGAACCCAGGGCTTCGAATGTGCTAGGCGGGTGCTCTACCACTGCGCCACAACCCCCGCCCCCACTTCTTGCTCTTGATTCCTTGAGACACTGACCTTGGAATAAGTTTCCCTTTTGCTTTTCTTTCTTTTTTTTTTTAATATATTTTTTAGTTGTAAATGCAGCTTTTATTTATTTTTATGTGGTGCTGAGGATTGAACCCAGGACCTCACGTGCCAGGCAAGTGCTCTACCACGAGCCACAACTCCAGCCCCATTTTTGCTTTTCTTTTCCTTTTTTTTTTTTTTTTTTTTTTGTGCTGGGGATTGAACCCAGGGCCAGAAAATGAGAAATGAAAAAGAATCGGGACTGAAGCCTATTAGCCTTTCCATCAACCCTGCCCCAGGGCCTCTCCCTCCTGGGCTGAACTATCCAGCGTTTGAAAGAATCCTCTGGGCCACACCACAAAGGAAGAGGCACCTTCTACAAGGGCATATTCAAAGTGCAGGGGTGCCAAGGAGGCAGGACCCCTGGAGTGAGGAGGCCAGGCCAGCCTTTGATGGTGCCCTGAAGGGATTTAGGCCTCAGTTGAGTTTCAAAGTCAGGACCCAGAGTGTCCCTCCAGGAAGACCAGACAAATGCAGAGGTGAGTCTTCCTGGCTGAGAAAGGCAGGCGGGGAGCCCAGGAGGGCTGGCTGGCCTGGAGGGAGGCCTTGGGAGGAAAGGTTAGCTCAGGTCATCTGCTTGCCTCACCTGTTGTCTCAAACCAGGCCCTGTATTTCTCCAAGAATAAGGATGCCTTTGTCTTCTGCCTCTGATAACAATTACTGGACATTTCATGGGTCCAAGGTCCACCATGCCTTATTTGGTCTGTGCTCCTGGTAACTACACAGCACTTTGCACAGAACAGACATTCGGTAAACGCTTGCTGAGTGAGAGTTCTCTCGTGTCCTGTGTACATMTTTCATATTCTATTATGCTTTTGTTTAAATCCACTTCCTTTTGGATTCAGAAGGCCTTTCATAAGCCCTGATGTGGCATGATGTGGCACTATGACAGCATGATGTGAGGGCTGCCAGGGTGACTTCTGCCGCCTCAGTGTTTGTAACAGAATAAAAAAGATGGCATTGAGAGATGGCATTTCCCTGAACACACAAGCACCTCAAAATGTGACAGAATCAACACCTGTTCGGCTTCAGTATCAACATTATTGCAGGAAGTAGAGCTGGAGTCCAGCGATGTCCAGGGCACCCCCCAAGTTCCTGGCTCTCCTAGCACAGCTCCTAATTACAATTTGATCCTTATTTGTGTGACTATCTGTCATTTCCCCTTTATATCTCAGGCTCCATGGGGAAGGTTGGGTTTGGCTGAGCACATCGCTGAGGCYCCAGTAGCTTGTGCAGTGCTCAATAAATATCTGCTGAATCAAACAATGAATGCATGACTGTTGGACTGGGTGGGGGAGTTGAGGAACCAGAAACCAGGCAAGCAAACTCCTAGCTGTGCTTGCTGAACTGGGACCCACTACAAACCTGACCTTGAATCTCCTGAGGGGAAGAAGGGAGGGAACTTGTATCTGTTGGGCTGCATCCTCTGCCAGGTGCCTTTCCATGCTGTCAGTTCATGCTCCCCAAAGCCTTTTCCCAGCAGTGCATTTTACAGATAGGAAAACCAGGAGTCCAGGAAGTTCGGGAGAGTTCTCCAGTCTTGTGAGCTAATAGACCCAGTGTTCACACCCTTGCTCAGGCCTGCAGGGCTGCAGGCTTCATGCTCCTCCTTTTTTCCTCCAGGTAGCCTTGGTAAGTCTGTTAACAAAACGTAGCTCAGAAGAACACTTCCAGAAGGAGGAGGGAGCCTGGGAAAGGACTAGTGGGGAGGCCTGAAAGTCAGCCACAGAGCACAGCAGCAGGAACTGAGGACCTGGAAATCCTCCTGGGCYGTGGCTCTTCCCAAGGCTCCCAGGAACCCTTGCACACATCTGGGTCGTGCAGGGGCCCCTCAAGTCAGAGACCCAGGTTTCTCCCAGGACACCTGAACCAAGTTACCTGTACGTGGCTGACACCTCTCACAGTCTCACGTAGAAGTCAAAAACAGAAAGGAAACATGATTCCTGGAGCTAAACCCTTGCATGCCAGAAGTCAGACCAGGCATCCTGAATATGTTTCCTTTTATATTTTTTAAAATTATTTAATACATGTTTTAGTTGTTGATGGACCTTTATTTTATTATTTTTGGGGATAAGGGTACCAGGGCTTGAACTCAGGGGCACACAACCACTGAGCCCCAGCCCCAGCCCCATTTTGTACTTTATTTAGGGAGAGGGTCTCACTTGCTTAGGGCCTTGCTAAGTTGCTGAGGCTGGCTTTGAACTCTTTAAAAAAAGAGAGAGAGAGAGACAGAGAGAGAGAAATTTTTTTAATATTTATTTTTCAGTTTTCGGTGAATACAACATCTTTATTTTATTTTTATGTGGTGCTGAGGATCGAACCCAGTGCCCCATGCATGCCAGGTGAGTGTGTTACCGCTTGAGCCACATCCCCAGCCCTGGCTTTGAACTTTTGATCCTCCTTCCTCAGTCTCCTGAGCAGCTGGGATTATAGGCATGTGCTACTGCACCCAGCTTATTCATTTATTTATAAGCGGTGCTGAGGATTGAACCCAGTGCTTCACACGTACTAGGCAAGCGCTTTACCACTGAGCCACAACRCTAGCCCCCACCACCAGAAACGGCCTTTGGAATGGAACTTGGATTGCGCCGTCCTCCTTCAGCACCCTCTCTACCTCCCATCTGGAAGTCTTCGATAGCTCCTCCTGCACAAGTGGACAAATGGCAAATTCCAAATCCAGGATCCCACACACCACGCCAGTGGCTCTCCATCCCTGCCCCCACTCTGCCCTGTAGCAGCCAACCAGCGGTCCCATGCTCCCCGGGGCAGCCTTCCCAAGGGCTCCATCAGCCCCCACACCCAGGCAGGAGTCTCCTACCTGGCTCTTACTAGGCTTTCTCTTGCTCACAGCTGGGACAGGCCTTCCACCTGCAATCGCCAACATCTAATGTGAGATGTGGCATGAAGAGTGGGCTTTTGACAAATACGCATTGAGAATATATTTTTTTCCCTAATGATGCCAACAAGCAAAAGTTTGTTTTTAAGGGTTTGGCTCTCAGTAATATTTGAAGTTAGTCTGTAAGGCAAACCTTTCAAAGTTGGGCTGGGGTTCAGGTTGGGGATGGAGCAGAGCGCTTCCCTGGCATGCATAAGACCCTGGGTTCCACCCCAGCATCTCAAAAGAAAGAAAGAAGACGTGAAGGCTGGCAGCTCTGGTCTGTGTGTGATGTGCCTCTCCCACTTCCTTGTGAGTGATGTTATGTAACTTATTTACCTATGCTTCATTTTTTAAAAAGGAAGTTAATCAAATGACACAAATATTAGGTGACAGAACCATTCCATTCTTGCAACTCACAGCCAGAATGGCAGTCTTCTCTGGGGCCCAGGTGTAGGTGCAGGAAGGGCGGTCCAGCCTGGGAGCCAGCACCCCAAATGCTTGCTGTTGCCAAGGTCTCTCTCCTGACCACAGGTCAATCTCCAGGTGCACTGCCAAAGCACGCAGTGTGATCTCTGCGGATGGCCACACCGTCCCCTTYATCTCCTGTGGAGACTAGTTTGAAGTCGGCCTGAGGCACGATCGTAATCACTAGTCATGCTTCTGAACTGTTTCTACTCTTTGCTGAAAGTTCTCTCTTCCACAGGTATCAGTATATACAGAGCACTCAACAAAGGTTTCGGGATTTGATACAAAAGACCATCATGGGATGGGGGACGAGCACCCCTGCAAAGTCAGCGAAGGAGACCTGTGCCCCAGACACACACCCCCGGCCCACAGCCCGCAGCGCCACAGAAAGCAGGAGGACAGAGGCCCACCGGGCACCTGGCACCGCCTCACCTACAAGCCAGGAAGAAGAGACAGCCAAGGTGGACACACTGCCACCAAGAGGTCAGGACAAGGACAGGGCCTCGACCAGGACAGAGGCACTAGCCCTGCAAAGTGAGGACAAGAAGACAGCTGGAGGAAGAGAGGCCCAGAAGGGGAAGCTGACCTTGGCAAGGACAGGGACGCCCCAGAGCAAAGTGGCAACTAGAGCCCAGAGGCTCAGTCCAGGAATCGGGGAGAAAAAGTTGACCACCGCAGGAGCAGCACCACCGAGGACGAGACCCAGAGCCACCACGAGACCCAGAGCCACCAYGAGACCCAGACCAAGGCCGACGGTGAGACCGAGAGCCACCACGAGACGGAGGGTGACGACGACACCCAGGGCGATGAGGAGACCGAGCGTGACCACAGGATCAAGGGCGAGGACGACAGCAGCTGTCCAGGCCAAGAAGAAGCCCACCCTGGCCGCCCCGCCTGCCCCTTCCCCAAGCCCCACCGCGCCAAGAAGCCAGAGACTCAAGGCCGCCAACTTCAAGTCGGAGCCTCGGTGGGATTTTGAGGAAAAATACAGCCTGGACACGGGGAGCCTGCAGACGGTGAGTCCCAGCCCCCGGCTCCCGCTCTGGAGCCCCTGCCGGGCAGCACCCACCCACTTCGCCTTGCCCACCTCCTGCTCCCTCCTATGACAGCCAACATGGGGGAGGAGGGACGGCAGGCACCAGGAGTGTGAGTGACGAAGGGCCCTCCCTGCAGGTCCCGACGGCGGCTGGAGGGTGGTCAGGCAGGAGGGGAGACAGCACCAAGTCTCACCTCTGCCTGGTCTTCCCAGCCAAGCTGCCTCTTCGGCCACCCCCACCGCTATCCTCCCTCGCCCSGGCACCGGGGGCAGCATTCAGATGTGTCCGCTCACACACAGAGTTGAACCCTGCACCACGGCACACCGGACACAGGCCACACGATTCCTTTCCCACTCACCAAGGTGCCTCTGCCTTGAGGGCAGAGGATGCCCATTCCCTAGGTCCCCTCAGGGCCCCAGTGGGCCCAGACCAGGGACAGGAAGGTCAGCAGAGCCTGGGACTGGAAGAGGGGACAGAGGCAGCGCCTTCCCCACCGAGGCCCTCCCCAGCCTCTGCTTCCTGACCTCCGTGTCCTGCTGCACACAGACCTGCCCTGACTCTCTGAAGACCAGAGCCGCCAATTCATCGTGGCTCCAGAACCTCTTTCTGCCCAACCTCACTCTCTTCCTGGACTCCAGGCACTTCAACCAGAGCGAGTGGAACCGCCTGGAGCACTTTGCACCGCCCTTTGGCTTCATGGAGCTCAATCACTCCTGTGAGTCCTCACCCCCAGGGAGGCTGGGGCCAGCAGACCTGGGAGGACCGGGCTCTGAAGGCACCCCTCCTCGTTCCAGTGGTGCAGAAGGTGGTGTCAAGGTTCCCTCCCGTGCCCCAGCAGCAGCTGCTCCTGGCCGGCCTCCCCACCGGGAGCACGCGGTGCGTCACTTGTGCCGTGGTGGGCAACGGGGGCATCCTGAACAACTCCCACGTGGGCCAGGAGATAGACAGCCATGACTATGTGTTCCGGTAAGGCGTCCCACCCCGGCTCAGACATGGGCTGCTCCRAGGGACCTGACAGGGTGTCCCATGCCTCTGTCTGGACAAGGTGGAACCCGGGGCTCTCCAGTATATAGCCACTGCCTCCCCCATTCTCCCYTTCCTGGGCCCCCGTCCCCCCACACCAACTGCCTGCACCTCCCTTCTCTGCTCACAGTGCTTTCTCATTTTGTCTTTCTGTACAGATTGAGTGGAGCTGTCATCAAAGGCTATGAACAGGACGTGGGGACCCGCACGTCCTTCTACGGCTTCACCGCCTTCTCCCTGACCCAGTCCCTTCTCATACTGGGCAGTCGGGGTTTCCGGCACGTGCCTGTAGGGGAGGTGAGCAGAGAGCAAGGAACTGGCCTGGCCACAGACTCTGGATAGGGGACTCGTGGGTGAGAGGGGAGATGAGCGTCTCGGGTCTGGACAGAGCCTGCGGTTGGTTCTGTTCACATGAAGGACAAGGGCAGAGAGGACATCCACACCAGGTCAGCAGAGAGCAAGAGGCCACTCTGGTGTGAAAGCCAGGCTGCCCAGCCCACGGTCCTCAAGCAGTACCCCAGGGTCACTCGCTGTCCTTGCTCTCTAGGACGTCCGCTATCTGCACTTCCTAGAGGGCACCCGGGACTACGAGTGGCTGGAAGCCCTGCTCCTGAACCAGACTCTGCAGAGACAGAGCCTCTTCTGGTTCAGGTACCCACTTCCCTTCTCCTGCCCCTCACCACCCCCCCCAGGCTGAACCATGAGGTGAATGGCTACAAAGGGGTGGGCAGGTGGGGACAGCCTTGGCTGCCACCTGGAGATGGGCACCAGCCATGCCCGTGACCCTGACTCGGCCCCCACTGAGCCAGTAACCGAGCCTGATSGATCATCCCTGACCACAGGCACAGGCCCCAGGAAGCTTTCCGGGAAGCCTTGCAATTGGACAGATACCTACTGCTGCATCCAGACTTTCTCCGGTACATGAAGAACAGGTGAGAGCAGAGAGTAAGCGAAGGGGCTTCTCGTCCGTGCAGCCTCCTGACAGTTGGGGATCTGGGGTATTTTACAGGTTTCTGAGGTCGAAGACCCTGGACGGTTCCCACTGGAGAATATACCGCCCCACCACCGGTGCCCTCCTGCTGCTCACTGCCCTGCACCTCTGTGACAAGGTAAGGCTCCACTTCAGGAACAGGAGTAACTGGAGTATAGCTCTGGGCTAGTTCTAGGCCTGCTCAGCACAGGACAGGGGCCGGTCCGGGTGCACATCTCTGTCCAGGACGGGCAGCGAGCACGACTGTATGTGTGCATCCAAAGCACCTGCACCCAGGCCCCCGGGCAGAGAATCAGGATAATCCCCCCCACAGAGTCGGCCCACGTGAAGGAGCCTGGGTGACAGCCACCACAGATCCTATTTCTCCTCCGACCTTTACCTAGGTGAGTGCCTATGGCTTCATCACTGAGGGCCACGAGCGTTTCTCTGATCACTACTATGACAAAACATGGAAACGAGTGGTCTTCTACATAAACCATGACTTCAAGTTAGAGAGAGCTGTCTGGAAGCGCCTACATGACGAAGGTATCATCTGGCTGTACCAGCGTCCCCAAACAGCAAAGAACTGACCAGAGCCTGGGCCCCAGCAGTCTCTTCACCCACTCCAGAACCCAGGGCGGGCGGGGGTCTTGTGACTCTCCTGCCAYTTCCCCAGGGCTGGGACCAGGCTCCAAGCCCTAAGACTTCCAAGAACACCAGCACAGAGGAGAAAACTCCCTCAACACCACAAATGATGGGTGGAAGTTTTGGAATCTTTCACCAGGTTGCTGCAGGGTCCAAAGGAAATGCCCGAGGCCAAGGACTTTTTTAATTAAATGGAAGAGTAAGTGGTCAATACCACCCATTGCTGAAAAACACTCGTCACTGTCCAGGAGTGCTGGGCACAGAAAAAGGGGCTGGAACTCACAGAGATGCATAGATCTGGTGTGAATTGCAGATCTTCTACTTAGCAACTGTAAAATGTTTAATTTAACCAGAGGTTGTCTGGAGGCCCTTTCCAGGGGTTATCTGATTATTGAAGGGTCTGTACATGTCCTGTCTCTGAGCCACTTGACAACTCTGTGTTGTAGGAAACTGACAGTGACATAAATGATTCATCTCCATGGAGATGCAAGTAAACTTTGCACAGTGAGGGTGCACTTGTTACCTCGTGGATACTCACCAGATTGGTACCTACTGACAACTTCGTTTTCACATTTCTGAGTGCCCAAATTTGTATCCGATCCTTGGATTCACCTTTGAACCAGTTTTTACATCTTACTGGCTCCTTCGTTAATCAATGAGTAAATGAAATCTTTGACATGTTTATTTTCCAATTGTGTGAGAATTATGATCTCAACCTTTAAAAATTCACCCTTTAACTTTTCCATCTAAAGTTCATTAGATTAAAACTTCATTCTAAAGAATTCGTTTTCCTTTCCCTTTATCCTCTGTCCTCCCACCACCTGCTTTCTCACTCAGCCCCCAGGCTGAGAGCTGAACGCAGCCAGAGACATTTCAGTTCCCCAGATCTCTGGAGCCCGGTCTCGAGGATCTGGAGCCCAGAGGAATTCTAAAGATCCCTCAAAGACTAAGGTGCTGGTTAAAGGCAGAGGACTCGGTACCGGTACCGACGGGGCGGGATCTGCGGTGCTCTAACGGTGCAGTGCCAGTCCCGCGCGGCAGGCGGCGGCAGCGGGCGCCCTGGTGCCCGCGTTCCCTGCGGCGCCGGCCTCTGCTTCCCGGCTCCCACGCAGGTGGTAGGAGGTGACACGCCTGGGGCACACCGCCGCTGAGGCTTAGGGTGGACAGAGCCGATCTGGGCAGGGCCGGGCCTGGGCAGGCGTTTGGGGAAATGGGGGAGAAGAACCCGTTGCGCTGCCGCAGCAGTGACTCCACGTTGACCCCTCCAGGGACAACCTGTGCAGGTGGCAGGACCTGCGGCCGAAGCACGGGGCCGGCGGGGCCGCGAGGGTGCACATGGCGAAGGCGCCCAGCGCAGCGCGGTCCTCGGACCTCCCCGGCCCGCTGGGCGCAGGCCTGCACGGGGATCACGCACCCGGGCACCGGTCCGAAGGGGACCCCGAGAGAGGTGGCCTGGGGGAAGCTCCGCCCAGGTCGCCCTGCCTGGTGGGGGCGCCTGCAGCTCCCTGCAGCACCCCTGGCCTGGAGAGCAATAGGTGCTTTCCCCTCACACCGCTTGGGGCCACCAAAGCTTGGGGCCAGGACGCAGCTAGTCAACGCGGGAGTGCAATGAGTAGCCCAGAGCACCCCATCTCTTCCCCAAATTAATGTTTCATGTACAACCTATACACATAACATGAAGGCCATTTTATAGAARGGAAGGGCGGAGCCTCACCTGGCTGGCCCTGTGACTCTGGGCCCAGCCTACGTGACAGGAGCATCCTGGACTCTCCAGAGCTCGGGGTAGAGCTCTGGTCCAGCGCCCAAGGCCCCCAAAAGGAGAGAAATCAATTCAAATAGAACAGCAACACTGTTTTTATGTGAGATGWTAGAGTAGAATGTGACAGAATATACTCTGTATTACACATGTGGTAATGTAACAGGACATAAGATTGACCTACAGAAACCAACAGCCTTCARTGACGTAACAACCAGGTAGGGGATATAAGGTGCAACAAGCCCATTTCCAATAGCAAYAAAGAAGATAATAATACTTAGTCATAAATTTGGTAGGAAATGTTCAAAATCTGTATGAAGAAAACGTCAAAATACTCCTGAAAGACACAAAAGCAGATTTGAACAGTCATCTTTGGTTCTTGGAAAAGATGACTCAATATGATAAATCTGTCAGTTGTCTCCATGTTAATTTATGAATTGAATGCAATTTCAATAAAAATGTCAAAAAATTTTTTTTCCTAGAGCGTAAACTGGCACTAAAATTCACACAGAATAAATACACGTAAGAATAGTTAGGAATACCTGAAAAAGAGAAGCTAACCAGGAGGTCTGACTCTACCAACTATTACCCTAAAACCTTTACTGTTAAAACAGTGTGAAACCTAGATGGGGAAAGTAGGTCACCAGAAGTGGACCCTGGGAGGGTTCATCTCACCCCCTGGCCCCTTCCTCACTCTCTACTTTGTGGCTGCCTTGGGCTGAGCAGCTGTCCTCTACCATGCCCTTCTGCCATGATATTCTGTCTTGGAGCCAGATGACCATAGACTGAAACTTCTGAAACTATGAGCTTATTTATTTTTCATTTATTTATTAGTACAAGAGATTGAGCCCAGGGGCSCTTAACCATTGAGCCACATCCCCAACCCTTTTAAAAAATATTTTATTTAGAGATAGGGCATCTTGCTAAATTGCTGAGGCTGCCTATGAACTCTCCATCCTCCTGTCTCAGCCTCCTGAGCCACTGGGATTACAGGCATGTGCCACCATGCCTAGCTGAAACTGTGAGACTAAATGAATCTTTCCTCCCAGGCATGGTGGTGCATGCCTGTAATCCAGCATCTGGGAAACTGGGGCAAGAGGATCAAGAGTTCAAAGCCAGCCTCAGCAACTAAGTGAAGACCTAAACAATTCAGCAAGACCCTGTCTCCCCAAAAAAGACTGGAGATGCTCAGTAGTTAAGAGCCCTTGGGTTCAATCCCCAGTACAAATAAAATAAATGAATAAATAAATCCTTTCTCTYTTAAGTTGTTTTTCTCAGGTATATGTCACAGCTACAAAAAGCTGACTAACACAATGCACAAGATTATTCACTGTAATAATGCTTTGGAATTGCAAAATATTGGAAACTACCAAAATGCCTATAAAATAGGAGATGTAAACATGAAGAATGTCACATGGGTACAATGGAGTACTGTACAGCTGGGAAAAAGATGGGCAGTTCGTGTAACTGACCAGCACAATGGCTAGATATATCATTAAGGGGAAGTTCGTGTAACTGACCAGCACAATGGCTAGATAAATCATTAAATTTTTTTTAAAAAGCAAAGATAACAAAAATTTTTACAGCACAGGAAGAGTATCCCTTTTCCAAAATGCTTGGAATCAGAAATGTTTCAGATTTTGGATTTATTTGGACATTGGAATATTGGGAAAGAAACCCTAGTCTAAACATGAAATTGATCTGTTTCCTGTATACCCTATACACATAACCTGAAGGTCATTTTATAGAATTTTTTAGCATACCTGTTTTGACTGTGACCCTTCATGATGTCAGGTGTGGCATTTTCTCCTTGTGACGTAGTGTTGGCTCAAAAAGTTACACATTTTGCAGCACTGGAGCATTTGGGATTTTACACCTTGTACTTGAAAAAAGAAATAAGAATAATATACAGGTGTCTGGTTATCTTAGCAAAMAGAAATACAAAGAAAAGATACACCAAAACCTAGTGAGACTGGTTACCCAAGGAAGAGAAATAGGAATAAAAAGGGATTGGAAAGGTTGGAGGAGGACCACACTACCCTGAGTGGCCTTTTCTCCCAGTTTTGCCTTTGTTCTGTAAATGACCCCAAAATAACAATGAAATCTACATTATCAGACTTGAAAACACAATACGAAGAGAAAAAATGAAYCTAGCAAAATTCAAAATATTGTTCACAATCCCATAGAAACGGCAAAACTATATTTCAACTACATAGCCTCCAAATAAAGACAAAAAGAATGGCAAATATGGACCTCTAGTTAGTAGGTAGGTTTGTTTTTTACAAAAATGAAAACACTCTCAATGTGTTATAACAAAAATAAATATGGACTGTCGGAAAAGAAAGTCACAAATATGGAAAAGGGCAATAAACCCTACAGTGTTGGATGAGAACTAGAGATCAGTAGGAACTTGAGATTTTTTTAATAGAATTATATGTATGGGGCAGTTTATATGTGTGAATATATGCAAGTATATAATTCCCTAGGTTTATCATCTGGTAGAGTCTGAGGTCAATGACATGCCAATGACAATGAGCACACTGATCACCAGCTGTTGAGCTCCTAAACACCATTCTCTACTACAAAAAAAGCAGCACGTTTTGGAGAAATGGCTGATTCTAGTGCTGGAGTAGGGAAGGTCCAAGCTTCCTTACTGGAAGGTTTATTGTTCCGGAAACCTCCGAAGTGCTGAAAGACTAGGATATGTCCAAAGAACACAGGAGGCGACCTGAAGGAATTCCCACCGATTGAGAATGAAAGTAAACGACGACAGTGGTGCAGGGTTCCTTATGTTTGTGATATAAAGGAGGAAAGCTTCTTCTTATAGAAGGCCAACAAATCATTAAGGATAAAGCCGCTGGAAAATCAGYATGTGACAAACACCAAACTTGGAGTCCAGCTGTCATTAACCGGTGCTAACGCTAGTAGATGTCAGCTTAATGGAGAGTAAAATGCCTACCTAATCCCGGCCTCCCACAGCACACTTCCTAATGACTGTGACTTGAAGAAAAGCCCAACCTCCCAGAAAGGTCCCTAGAGGGTAACTGGGCCCAATCTCAGAAGGGAGGCTGAGCGTGGGGACAGCGGGGGTTCACGTGCGTATTCCGTCCTCCTGGGAGAACCACAACTCAACTCTGCTGCCCTTGCCTGGGAATATGCCTGTTTCAACTGCCAAGATAATCAGCCTCTAGAAAGTACCATTTTGCCACTGGACCTGACCAATCGCGGTGACCCACSATCTACTGACCAAAACTGAGCCCTGTCAGAGCTGACTACTGGACTATGACTTAAAATCAGCCAATCAGGACTGAGCACTTCCAGGCCTGGTCAATGAGCTGTGACCTGCAATCGACCAATGAGGACTGAGCACTTCCCACAAGCATGCCAAGCGCCCCTGGGTGGGAAAGTGGGTCAGAACTTTATATAAGCCAGCGCCTGTCTGTGTTTGTAGCTGGTTATTGAAATAGAGTTCATCTTTTTATCTTAAATTTCTTTCTAACGGATTTTATTGACGTTACAAAAAGCAAACTAATAACTTTACAATGGAGAAACCTGATAATCACCGCCTTAACCAAGTGATCAAAGTTAATATCACTAGCAAAGAAACAAACCAGAAGAAGGAGATATCACTTCGTGGTRTTCTTACTGAATAGGCATAATAACTTCAATCTAATCATAAGGAAACACAAAACAAGTCCAAACTGCAGAATAGTCTACAAAATAATTGTCCTATCTATTTATTCTCTTTTAAAAGTCCAGAAGTCATTAAAAAAAAAAAA